CTGTGTTGGCGGTATTACCAGTGAAATTTCACTCTCGTATGTTGACGTCCTACGTCAGAAGTCATTTTTACTGGTTGTTATCATTGAACTTTAACTTTATATTATACAATTGTTACATTTTTGAGTCCAGTGTAGAGGAGCTCTATCGGCTCCTGTATTGGAAACTAAATTTAACTTTAACTAACTTTATGTATTAAATATAACCACGTCACGGTCGCTCTTCATTGTAACCATACAAAGAGGATATTTAGTGGTTTCCCATTGATTACCTTTCTGTTTCACAAGTTAGTCAGAATTATTATATATCTTACGAGTGCGAAATCGGATATCTCCTGCCATACGAATGAAATAGATATATGGTATTCAAAGAGAAACATTTTCATGATTCTTTCCTTTTTTCCTTTTGTTTTTAAGTAAAACGATTAAAAAATAGCTGCCTCTTAAACCTTGCGGAATAAGTCATGTAATATTTGAAGTCAGGTTCTTATGACGTTACGCTTGACAACAATGCTGCGCACTATTTTTATAGGTTAATAAATTTGTATCGTTCGCAGTTAATATCGGTTAATATTTCCTTATAAAAATGAAATCAATTGTGTACGTAAATGCATTAGTGTATGCAACAAAGGTGTAACAAAGCAGTCGTGTTTGTACCGTCGCCTAGTCGGCATCGCAAACTGCAAATCTTTCTCTTTGATTGTAGTGAATAGACAGTGCTGCTCTGATTGGTCAATAATAGATAATAATAACCCGTCAAGCTCGCTGTACTTGATTATAACAAAATACTACAAAATCAACAATTACCAATAATCAGGTTCTGCCTTAAACAAAAACTTGTAAAATAATTTGTGTCTGTCTCCGACGACTGATCATTCATGACTTTCATGTCATGCATGCACGTGCATTTTAGGAGAAGAACTCAAACAGACAAGATAGGTGCGATCATATAGAGACGTATACATGCCCCCTCCCCTACCTCCCCCCAGCCCTACGCTGTAATACATACACGTGCTACTCTGCAGTAACCACATAAAACTGATACCGTCACACCTGTGTGAGAGCACTCATCCAAGCCATGAAAGATCAAAGGTCAGAAGGAGTGTATACTTTTTATACCAAGTTTGTATTGATAAGTGTAAACTGCTCCGTTATTATCATACATGAAAGCATGTGTAACGGTCATTACGACATATCACTGGGGTAATGCGATCGTGATTTGTATCGATGAAGTGACCCTTGATGCTGGAGAGATGGGACCTCCATCGAGGAACGTTGGTGTACAGCTGGCCTGCTTAAAAACGATTGATATACACACATAGACAAATACCGATTTACACTGGTCGTGAAGAAACAAATGTAGCCATGCTACCAAGATTGACTCCGGCGTCCAAACAAATTGCTCCCTGTCCCATTTCTCAGCCTGGGGACTTAATCTCGTGCCAAATTTGGGAAATGTCCGAGATCATACATGTTGATTGGGCATGAAGAGATTAATACTACCATGCTAATAGGACCAAATACAACTGCGCTACAATCGCATGACTTGAAGAGACGAACACAAACATGCTACTAGGATTGGTTCCAGGGACAGTTCCGCACCAGGGAACTTAGTCCCTTGGTCATAATATAGCAACTTTTGAGATACCAATGTAACCATGTATACAATACCTAGATGTGAAGAGGTGAACACATTTGTACAAAGATTGACTCAGGGAGTCAGTCCCGCCATGAGGGCAAGTGTTCCTGAGTTGTTACATGGAACGGTTGAGATCTGCACCCATAATCATATTTGTAAATGTTAGGCATGCAGAGATGAATATACTCATGCTTCCAGGATTTTTCCAGTGATCCTGCTCAACCATTGAGGACATGATCAAACTACCAGGGTTAGCTCTGGGTCTTGCCTCACCTGCATCCCATCGGACTTAGTCCCAAGTTAATTAACAAGACACTATAAGCATATACACATATATCCGCAATCTAGTCACTTATCAGGACATGTCATCGTGTTTATTTCGGTAACGTTTTATATTATTGTACTATGGTCATATGGTCTCAGCTCCGCAGTGCTTTAGGGACACGCTTCCATCTACTCTATGCTAAATAATGTTTTTTTCTTGAAGTGCATACTAATCTAGCAGACTATATACAGGATTCCTACATAACCTGTATGTATCTGAATTATAACCGGAAGTGTCTCACTCAGAAACAAATTTTGAACTCCTTCTTATTTGACAGCGTACAACTAATTCCCGCGAAGTATCAACATGACAGATCTCCTATAAAATAGATACAGATGTCACGGTCGGACGCGCTTTACTGATGACATTCGGATAGAGCACACCTGTGAGAAGTGATTTATGCTAACGACCTTCTTTGTCCTTTTACCTTACCAGGAATTAGCATAAAGTACCAAATATAGATTGAAAAGATTCCAGGTGTTCGAGGATCTCTCCGGATACCTGAGAGTTTACATCCGGGCTCCGTGATACAGTTTATATGAAGCTATATTAATTTTGATCATGTTAATGTATATTAGAAATATAAGCAATTACTTTGCGACTTTTCTATGTGCATGTCTATGTATGTATATCACTGTGTTTTTCTATTTTGCCTTCAAACTACTTTGTAGTTACAACTGTGAAAATAAAATTTTGAATTGAATTTGAATTTATGTAATCTTAAACATGAATCATTGAAATAGGCTCAAAACTTAGTCATTATGAAAAGAAAAATTACAACAAACGTTTTGAAATATTTCAGCAAAAGCTCAATTATCTAATTGATACAGCAATTGTTTCCACAAATATTATAATCTTCACCTTGATGAGGGTTATTAAATGTTTTAAGTATAAGCAGAAACACAAGCTAATTTAAATGTGTATTACAACTGATTTAATGAATATATGGATATATTTATTACAAATATTAGAAGCTATTAAACGATATTCATTTCCATGATGTGTTTTAGTGACTAAACGTAACTACTTTCTATTGTAAACCTAGTTTATAGATTCTTTAACACTATGTTATTATTTGTGTTGATCGTGTCTTTGTTCTGGGTACTTAAGTACCATCAGCATGAAGAACAAACAACATTCCTGGTTTGATACATCGGTATGTAAACACCATGACGTGTGATTACACATGTATGTATGACTGCATGTGACAGTATTGATATAATCTTAATTAGATCTGATGATAACGCTATTATATACGGACACGTGCATAATTGATAAGTAAATTATGCTCCAACTAATGTAATTAAGGATGTCAAACAGACTTCTCAATACTAGGATTTTGACCGTTAACTGACCGCTAGGTACTTGGTCATTGTCAGCCCAAATGTTCCATGGACCCTTCAGGCCAATAACAGCCGATTTTTACAATAATATTATTAGATAGCATTCGGTCCTTCAGAGGCGTTACCCAAATATCACACTCGTCACAGACGTCAATCTCGGGCATGATAACAGGAAATGGGAAACTTAATTAACATAATTCATCTCCCTAATGTTAAGAAAAATATTGTTTTTTCTTAATTGATTTTTATATTGAAATTTTGTCGCAATCTGAAATTTGTATTTATGCTTTAGTTACTTTTTCTAGTCTAAGGTTTTCACGTATTGTAAACAGTCGAATCTAAAGATCTATAAGCAATTATAATGTTGTAACTGGATTATCGTAACAGTGTACGGGAACGCTCGACAGATTGTGGAACTATGGTCTGGAAGTGGAATAATATGTGATTGAGGATTGAATTATCATCAAATTAAATCTCTCCACAAATCTTCATACTTATAAAATTAGTTGTAATAATAAAGATCAGATGATTTCAGATCAGAATCACTAAACAAATTGTATTTTTTTTTTAAAAATTGGCGTTTATTTCAAGCATTTATTACATTTTAACGGAATACTATGGATTTTCTCTCAAATATTCTTAGTTAAATTTTTGACGCAAAAATGTTTTGGTATTTGTTGAACTGACTTAATTGTATTACCTTAAGAGACGGTATGTATGACACGTTGTATGACGTAAGCGGCCTTTAGAAAGTATGTATGCTGTGCATCTTAGCATCGTTTATTTGTCCAAATACTTGGAGGTATCTAAGATATCTGTAGAAAAGCTACTTATTATACTCTATCAAATAAAGCTGTGTCGGTCAATAGGATAGCGTACCCTAACCATTGAAGTACCAGATTCTTGTGTGTGTTTTCAATTCCCCAGAGGTAATCTTGAGTACGGTTTAATTCTCGACTCTCGGTCAACACGCGTGTTTCTGTGAGAGATACAGCACGTTCACTAGTTCGGGAGGTATCCCGAAGTCGGGGTTTAAACAATGCGGTCTATGATAGTCGAACTATAGGTTTTAGATAACTAGGGATTGACGTTTTGACAACTAAGTCTCCTTATTAAGATCTTATTAAGTTTGTCTGTGTCGTGGAGCCTAACACTGTGGGTACATACACCCGGCACAAGTTGACACCCACCACGCTTTATCACTAACAAAACATCCTATTGAAACAAACACACTGGATAAGACAACACTCGTGGGTTTTTAAATTTTTACTCAAACGACGTTGGACGGCAAATACACGACAGTATTAAAGGGTTCACGGAAAACCAGTGGGAACATCATCTTACAAAATGCAATCCGTTATGTCTGATTTTGCTGTTTAATACGGCAGCAAGCTCTGACAATGATGAACTGGGCACTCTTCATGAAAGAGAACAAATAATAAATATTTGTATTGCTTTCAAAAAAGCTGTACGCTATATTTTTTCTTAAGAATAGAAAGCATGAGTTAATAGTGTAGTAAGATGTATTATAATACAAACGTTCTGTCGCTTTACAATTGTAGTATCTGATACGAACAGACGGTCGCAAGCACTCTATTCGCCACAAACCCAATCGGGGGCTGATAACACATGAAAGCAGAGGTCATTTTAAAACGGGCACTTTGCCTATTTTCATTTATTGTATATAATTGATCCACAAGAGAGGAAAATTTAATGAAAACACAGCGTAGTAAGTCAGACCGCTGTAGGTGTCGTGTGAACGCGATCGACCAATCAGCGGCCAGCAAACGCCGAAAAAGACAAATTGGTTTTTAGTTTGAGGGCATGTTGTCAGTAGCGTTATTCAAACGGAACTACGCTAGACCCAGGACAGAAGGAAATGAAACAGAGAAAGTCTGCGAGGATCGCTCTGGGTATCTAGAGGTGTAACCGTCAACAGCACTCATAGTACATGTTGTGCTCCTGGTGTTTACATTGGCACACTGCACACTGATGAGTGACCCTATATCACAGCCGACAGACAGGGCAACCAGCAATTATTGAAACACATTCCTATCAACACTTTATTCTCTAAAGAAAAACAAGTTTGAAGATACCGGATTTTTCGTGGATATTTGTGCAGTTTTTGGAAGTTTTTCCGGTGAATAATGTAGTTTGTCCGGATGTACAGTATGGAGAGACCCTGCATGGACTAACGGGATGATGGTGTAATTCCTGGAATAAATTTAATTGGGACATTTTTTTAACTAGAGACGACATATAATGGGATCTTCAACAAGACATTACATTTCCATAATTTTGGTGTGCATATTACAGAGCGTGCACGCGTCATGGTGGTAAGTTGTGTTTATTGTCCTCTCAGTTCTACAAACCTGTTCACGTTTCTTTTCCTCGAAGTATTACACATTAACCTGTTCACGTTTCTTTTCCTCGAAGTATTACACATTAACCTGTTCACGTTTCTTTTCCTCGAAGTATTACACATTAACCTGTTCACGTTTCTTTTCCTCGAAGTATTACACATTAACCTGTTCACGTTTCTTTTCCTCGAAGTATTACACATTAACCTGTTCACGTTTCTTTTCCTCGAAGTATTACACATTAACCTGTTCACGTTTCTTTTCCCTCAAAGTATTACACATTAACCTCTTCACGTTTCTTTTCCCTCGAAGTATTACACATGAACCTGTTCACGTTTTCTTTCCCTCGAAGTATTACAAATTAACCGGTTCACGTTTCTTTTCCTCGAAGTATTACACATTAACCTGTTTACGTTTCTGAGTAACATTCTTTTTTCTTTCGGGTACTAAAAAAACTTCATTTACTGGTGTATTCGCTTTTTATGGAAGTATTTTATCGTACGGTATACTATTTTCACGTTTTTATTTCGATAACGATGAACATTTTGTTCATAATTCACGAACTTGATTTTTATGATGTTCCATCAGTTTACAGAAACAGCCATTAAAATGCTATCTTTGAAATTATAATCGTTGTAATTTACTCCATGGTAAATAAATATATATATATATTGTCGCAATAGAAAGGTAAAACTCGTACTATACCTATGTAGACCGTGACTTTGTCAATCAAAATTATTTAACGAATAATGATCTTATATTACTAAATCTAGAAAATGGTCCCTAGAATTGTAGAACTGTTTACGTGACAGAGAGGATAACACAAAGTTCTGTTTATACATTTAGTATTGCCTTTATTATTTTCAATATGAGTAGAAATAAATAAAATAAAAAAAGGATCATAACCTTTTATATTTATCTTCTCTCTCCCAACACTACAGAGAAGTAAACATCTGCGTGAATATAATCTTTACACCACCTACACAGCACAGGCACGTAAATATAAAATATAAAATTGAACATATTGAAGTAGAGGCAGGGGGTGAAGAAGGAGTGTGTTACCGATCTATCTAGGTATAATTGTGTAACAGTACCTACCGCCGCTCCATGTGTTAACATCTCCTTTGATATCGTGTGTATAAAACCTGTGTTATATTGTACTCGGGGCTTCTGTGTCAGATGTCTGGCCTGATAGGTTTGTGATAAAACAGACATACTCGACATGTTCTCAAATACTTTCTTTACACCAAAATGTCCGGCTTTTATCCGGTTTTATCATTATAGAAGATAGGTAAATTAAAACAAATGTAGAGTTTGATAGAAAATATTTTTTTCAAACTATAAGTGATAATAAAAGGAATTAACCAAATATCAAAACAATCTATGGTCATAAGTGAGCGGGGTTTTTCTTTACATCACAAAAGAAAGAGACGCTAAAATATAAAATAAGGCACGTTTTCCGGGGGCCGGGCAATGTGACACCTAAAGGTGTAGTCGTTGGTGGGGTGTGACTATGTGGTTCTCGCCCGTACACTCTACCGATTCCTGTACCGATAAGCTCACGGCAGTAAAATGAAGTGTACGTGAACAGATATTTCTACACCCGAGTTTTCCATTTCCTTACAACTGATTGATATCCCGAGGGAATCGTTTGGTAGAATTAAGATATACGGTAAGCCGCAAGACCTGCGCCACGCCATTCCCTAATCGATCACAGAAAGAACGGTCCAGTTGTATTATAGCGTTGTCCATTATTCTCCCTATCGTTAGATCATGATAAATGTTATATATGGGCCGAGTTTTGAAACTATGGCCAAAAATATATATCGAGACCTTTTAGAAACCCTTTTTTCTGTGCAGTCAATGGCAGATGGGTCGATGCAATTTATCATTTTCCATACCAGTGAGATACCTTTGTCGATAGTTTTAGTTTGCTGTTAAAGTTAAAGTTGGGTAACTTCGATTTCCTTCGAGATTAAATCTGTAATTTCTACTTTGACACACGAGTCCTTGGTGACCTACCGCGACATTGTAAGAAATTTCAAGTTGAAATGTTCATCTGTTGAGATTTTAATGAAGAAATTATGCGCAGACACGTATGTGGTAAAGATCTCCTCAGTGACATGTAAATCACACAGGCTGTTTACCTGGGCCACAAAACTTCAAACCACGTCAAATTAAGGATAACCGTAACGTTGACTAATTTACCTCCACGAAGAAGGGTTGTTCAGAATTTTACAGGCTCAGGGATCAAAATTTTAAACGTTTTGTCAGTCTCCCATTCAAGAAAGTGGAAACATTTAAGAAAAACTTCCATTGATAACTTTTTGTCCAAATCTATTTATAAAATAAAGGAGACTGTGTGTATCAACAGGAAAATATAGTTTTATTTTATAATCAAGGCCCAACATCATGGCAGTAAGTAAAAATCAGATTGTTAAGTATTTACGGAATATTTTAAAAACTAACAAAAACTCAACTGTTGAACAGAGTGTTTAGAAAATGGGAAATACTTTTCACATAAAAATCGCTTTTGAATTGAGCCATCACATTATCTAGGTTGGCGATCTTGAGAAACAACAGCATCCCTAATTAACAAGCCTTCTAATGAGTTTCCTTACGCAACCTGATGGATTGGTATCCGAACCATTTAAGAGTGTAATGTTTTATCATGTATGTATGTCCATGTGTGGTTACAAGGAGACGACCCCAGACGATTAGCACGTTATTAATGTCGGCCTGGGGATTCTCGCGTACTAATTAGGCAAAACCATTACTTTGTAGCTATGAACTACCCCTAGAATTCAGCTGAACCCTGACCTCTGGTAACAGCCCTTTAGTTCTGCCCCATCTACTCCGAGCCCCTTCTGTGGGGAGAACGCGTTATTGGGTGGTAATGATACTGTGGTGGTTTTACTATCTCCACTAATTGACAATATCTGCTAGTAATTTGTCCTTATTCAAAATGACCGCATAAAATCTCCTGACTTTTGTTTTGGTTTCAGATTTCGAGCTATTTTTCTCCAACATATTCGGCTTTTCATTCTTCATTCATATTCTAGTTAATTCACAGATCAATCGCTTAGATGATCGGAAAATTTATAGTCATAATGGAGAAAGAGGCAATAAATTATAAAATGTATTTGAGGAATGCTCCGATATATCCCTCTGACAGGTCTCGGACCTTTCCACACTTTGAAGTGTTGATTTTGACGACGCCATAATGTATAACACCCATGTTTATGATGTATGATAATGGTGATAAAAGCGGTGTGCATGTTGAAGCCCGCGGGTGCGGGCACTTCGTACCAATGTTTGTCCTGTTCTCACGGATCTTACGCCCAAGGTGTTGCGCCCAGTGGCCCCGGGACAACGTCACATCAATTAATCTACCCGGATAAAGCACAGTTATAATTATAGGTAATTAAATCATAAACCATAAATATTAGCGCTAAAACGTTTGTAGTTGACGCGTTTCGTATGAATTGTTTACACCTGTATGTGGAGGTGAGAATACCTTTGAAGATAGACGAACAATAGGCTAAACCTTTCATCTTTTCAACGCGTAATTAAATACAAATGTACCTACTGACCCGTGACCAAATGGCTCGCGGGGTGACCGTGGTCACTGAGTCGTGTAAATCTGACCGTGGGAGGGTCATTGTGGTGCGTCACTACTTCCAGACGTAAGATTTGGGGGACCCCTGTCAAATGTCAGATGTAAATAAAACATGCCACCGTCTATGTACAGGCGGTCAAATCAATATTATTGGTAAGGAACGAGCGTTGTGCAATTGTTCGTAAGTCTTGCATTGTACTGGTTCCGAGTGAGAAATCCCAGGTCATTGTTCCAAGGCGTACGATCACTGTTCAGACCAGCTACCTGTTTTAACAAGCTGAGTAAATATTTTTCGCATGTCACGAAGGTTTGCTTTACCTTTTTGCACCTGTATACTAACTTTTTAAAGTTTCTTCATATTTATACGAGAAAATCGCGGCGAACGCTGTACACAAATAACGCCGACTCGGAATACAGATTTTTTTTGTTTTTCTACATTATGTAAGGATTGCAAGGATAGCACCTTGAGTATGGTGATATACGTGGGTGTTACAAAAAAGGCTCAAGGCGTATTCGTTACGACAGATAAGTTTACAATAAACTAGTGTCTCCCTTGTTAGAATATTTAATTACAAAAGAGAAGTGTTATAAACTTGCTAGGATATGTAATCACAATTAACAAGTGTCTGACTTTGTTAGAATATTTAATTACAAAATGTTAGAATATTTAATTACAAAAGAGAAGTGTTATTAACTTGCTAGGATATGTAATTGAACTTCAATGAAATTTACAATAAGGAAATATGTTATCTGTGTAGGATATAACTACTACAAAGAAATGTGTATTCTTACTTGGGTATGTACACTACAGAAATACTTAAATCCTGCTATAGGATCTCTTGTTGTACTTAATAATTTATCATTGAAAGAATATGAAATAAAAATAAAGAAATGAATTATCCACTTGTTTAAATTAGATAGTTACAATGGAGGAATATATGCGTAACTAGGTTAGGGAAGTATTCTATCCTTGTTAGGACATGTAATTATTTTTTATGTACTTAGCATAGAAAAGGATTTCATCTTTTGTTAGGATGTGTAATTACTATAAAGAAATTATTTAGTTTCGAAGGAAAATTGAAAGTCACAACAATAGAAAAGTGATTTATCCTTGCTAGAATATGTTATTACTATAAAGAACAGATTTGTTTATGAAGGATATGATATTACAATTGAGAAGTGTTTTATCCTTGTTAGAATATGTAATTACTAAAATGAAATAAACTATCCGCGCTACTATATGTCATTACAATAAAGAGATGTTTTATCGTTTTGTTAAAATAGGTAATTACAATAGAAGGACCTTTTATCATTTGCAGATATATAAATAATGTTTTGTAAACCTATATATGTCACG